GCTGTCACACGGCAACCCCGGAGTCCCGCTCTTCTTCGCAGCGAGGGGCCGTGCATCACCTCCGAAAACCCGGTCTCCATCTGATCCCCTCTATCGCGAGTTTTCTGCATGTAAATCTAACGTCTCTACCAGCGCTCTCCTCCATCGAACCATTCGCTTGTGTTTATCTAAATAATTATTACCTTGGAAAAAAAATCGTTTTAAATCCTTAAGGGCAAAACGCTTAATTGCTTTGAGCAGGAAGACATCTGATCTCTCACAACTATCCCCCGCCTCTTGCCAACCAGAATCTGATGGCAAATTAAATACCTGCGCAGAGAGAAGGAGAGAACAACCCTCGGCGGGTGGGAAATGAGACGCTCGTATTATGCAACAACCACGGTTCATTGTGCACTCACTGTCTTAAGAGTGGATGACACCGGTGCGATCAATAGGGACGATTGTCGGGTGACACAGAGGACAATTATAACGCGTGATTGCACTTACTGCCTATTTCTCGCAAACAACATAGTGCAACTTTGCTCCAGCGCATCCACCTTCCCCGCGCACCGGGAGCCGGGCGCTCCCCGGGCTGCGCGTCCCGCGGCCCCGGGCGGGCAGAGCCTCCCGTGCCTGCCGCCCCCTGCCCAGGACTGCGGGACGCGTCCCCCCGGGGTGCCCGAAGGACACTCCGGGAAGGGTCCCCTCGCAAACCACCAGGGAGCTGGTTCCGCAGCCAACAGCTGTCAGCCAAAACGGCTTTGGAAACGGAGTCCAAAGGACTCAAGAGAGGATCTAGATCGAGGCGTCGGTAGCCAGCCCTGATCCCTCGGAAGCTCTGATGTTCAGCTCGTTTTAATTCCTTTCTAGCGTCTGAAGATAAACGCATATTACTATTAATACAACGCCTTTCTCTTGGCTCCGGGTCTGTTCTGGGGCAATGCGATGAAACAGTAATCTCCCAACCTCTGACGCATCAAACATTCCCTTGGTGTACACCTCGTTTCGGGGCAAAACTTGGACTGGATGCACACTGATTCCATTTTCCTGCCCTTCTTTCTAGTCAAATCGGAAGCCTACCTTGAACGACTTCCTCACGCCAGCCTCACGGTGGCTCGTAAAAAAAAAAAAATCTCATCTCTTTAGAAAACGGGTTATTAACCAAATAGATAATTAAAGGAGAGGGGAATGCTTGTGATGTTTTCCCTCACGGAGAATAAACGCGATCCTCGCTGCCCGCGAGGGTTTTGTCCCCTGAGATATCTGTAAAGGACACAGACTGGTGGACTGGGGATACAGGACATCATCCGTGTAAAGATCCGAATGCGCTCCCTCCTGATTTACACTGACAAGGGAGGCGAGGGGTGCTGGACAGCCCCCTCCGCCAAATTGACCATCACCAGCTATCACGGACTAATGAGACTGTGGAATTTCGTGGCGAGGATGCTGCTCACGGCCTGATGGATACAGAAGCGAGGATGCTGCGGCAGTGCCTGCCCGACACCTCCCTCCGCCTCCAGGCTGGGAAAAGCGGAGGTGGGCCGAGGGGCAGCCTGGAGCCCGGGGGAGGCAGAGGGGGAGGCGGAGCTGGCCGGGACGGGCCGTCGCTGCTGCTGCTGCTGGAGCCGGTCAAACAGCACAGCCACTTCCCCCAGGAGCTTCCCTTTCATCTCCCCGCTCCTGGCGCCTGCAAAACAGCCTCAGTTTGTCTGCAGCGTCTCTCTTCCCCCTGTACTCCCTCCCTCCCCGTCCCGCTCCAGCTGAGAGCCCCAGGACCGGGGCGCCCGCAGCCCTCCCCGGTTCACGGGGGCTGGTGCTGTAGGGGGGCGGGGGAGAGGCAGAGGGGCACAAGGGGTTTCTGAGCATCCGTGGGACCCGACAGTGCTCCGTGAGGCGGTTTCTGACGGCGGCTCGGAGTTGGGGGTACAGGGGCGAGGGGCCGCCCCGAAAGCCGACCGGGTCCGCCGAGTCCCGACGGCCGAGACCCGGAGACCGCCCGCCCCGGGAGCGGGGTCTCACCGGGCACACGAGGGGGGAGCCCGGCGCAGGGGAAAGCCCCCGGACTCACGTCGTTTCCCCGGGCTGGGAAAATTCCTTGCTGGTCTGAGGCTGGGCGGCGGCTCTGAGATCCTGGATAGGGGGAAAAGCCTTAATTCCTAGAAATTTCTCCAAACCTCGTCTCGGAGAGGTTTCCGTGCGGACATTCAGTGCCGTGTGTGGCTTCATTCTCTGATGTTTAACTGACAGGAGGAGGATGAAGGAGGAGAGGAGTGAGAGAGGAGAGAAACCTCCACGTTCAGACTTTCGACAGAAAATGCACCAACCTCGCGATGGACTAAAGCTGAAGAGGG